TTTATTTAATTTTAATTGGAGGGAAAGTTTGTGTGCTTATATTTATGTGTGTATGTAACTTTGAACCAGCTGTAAATTTTTTTTTATAGCAAATGCATTTTTGTGTGCAATTTTCAGTTCCATCATCAGGCAAGGCCCCATATTTGGCAACCCTGATGGGAAGAACCGAAAATGTGAAAATGGATACAGTTCGTAATAGTAAAAAACTGATTGAAAATTCATTTGTACAAAAAAAAAAAAGATAAACAATGGTAAAAAAACAAAGAAGAGTAGAGAAGAAAGCCCGTGTTATCTATGAGCTTATTTCTTAGATTTTTAGTACGGAAACCCACGAAATCTACAGATAAAAACAGAAGATTTTTTCAAATTATCTATTTTAAGTTATCTAGTTTATTTATTTTTTGGAAACATAAGTTCAGTAGCGAGGTGCATTTCGCCGAGAAAATTCCTTTTCAACCCAACATGTTAATAGATCGAGGACCTATTCTTAAAATATACACGCGTCCTGTGAAATACAGGATGGATAATTTAATTTTGGGGTATTTTAAAAATAAACGGCTCAAAAATGAATAGGGATATTTTCAATTTTGAAATATTTACAATCGCGATCATTTTTATTTTATTTTTATTATAAATTGCATTAAAATTTATTAGAAATTATTATGTTTTTTTACTAAAGAAAAATTTAATTAAGGGATTTTGAAAATAACAAAATAAAAGGTTTTAATTCCATAATTTGTTGTTATTTGTTAATTGGACACAATAACTGTTTAAACGATTGATACCGTGTATAATGTTCTCTGTTGGCTAAAATCTCTGGGCACCTGTTCGGTACTGTTAATAAGGTTGTTACTAATTTCATAAGGCATTTCACTCCATAGAGGTTGCAACGCTGCACTCAGTTATTGCAGGTCAACTGGATGCGGATGGTGATCGAAAAGCCTTCTCTGTAACGCATCCCACATGTGCTCAATGGGATTGAAGTGCGGAGACAATGGGCGAAGGGGCAGATGGGAAATTCCCAGGTTTTCTAAACATTGATGAACAAATCATGCATCCATGAGTTCTGGCATTGTCATCCAGAAATAGAAAATCTCTGCCAATGAGATCCTGGTTTGAGGGATGTAGTCTTCGATAATTTCGTAGACATAACGGAACCACGGTGAGACTGCCTTCAACAATATGGAATCCAGCTCGTCCTCCAGTGTAAATCCCAGCCCAGACCATTACACCGCCTCTTCCAAACTGCACTGAAGGTAGCGCGAACTAGGGCATTGTAAGCATTCCCATGCTCTCAGTAGACTCTTCGGCACCTGCTATCACTATGCAGACAGAAACGCGACTCGTTAGTTAACATAACTGCATTCCAAATGGTATTCTCTTCTAGGCGCCCGCTGCAGCATATTCTCCTGAGTTGCTGCAGGGTATCTCAAAGGGGCAATATTAATACTATGTGAGGCCAACTTCCAACGAACGCTTATGAGTCGTTTGAGTTGGTAAAGGCATTGCCAAAACATTTCGTACTTCAGTTAGGATCTGGCGGGCACTATGGAAAGGGTTCCGTCTTGCAGCACTAGCAATATTTCTGTCCTCCCTTAGCGTCATAATGCGCTGACATCCACTAAAGGACGCTATTGACACTTCCAGTCTCTCGGAATCGGGTTAAGCCCGGGAGACCACGCTTTGAGAAACGCCAACTGCCTCTGCGATATCCACTTCCCGGTGACCTCGATGACTCATTCTTACAACAATACTGCGAACTTCTGGTTCAAGATTAAGTCTTTCCATGGTTAAAGAGAATACAACTGGATGAAAATGGAGAAAACACGAGAAAAGGCGTTTGTTTACAAAATAAGTAATCATCGTGTTTACTATTCTTAAGCAAATCTGTTATTAAAAATGAGGATTAACATTTGTTTGTTTTTGGTTTGTATTTTCTGCTTAGTTTTATCTACCTAACAAGAATATATCGGTTAATTTAATTAAAATTAATAGAATAAGAATAAATTACAAATATCCCTATTCATTTTTGAGAAGTTTAGGTAAAAATGTTACGAGACATCCGGTTAATATTTTTCTGTCCGGCACTGTGTGCAGGAACTTATGCACGTAGTTTGATCATTTCAGATCATCAACCTCGCCATTTTGCAGACATACCAAAGCAGCGACGATACCACGTTTTATGCTTTATGGGTGGTCGATGCAGAATACAATTGCTTCCTCCACCGCGACCTAAACATATCTATTGTCGAACCCCCAATATATAGCCAAATCTTGCAAAGTGAGTTATTGGGTATGGGATCCCATGTTCCCTCTTCGTGAATCTCCTTGGGTATGAGAAATGTCTTACAGATGTGGCTGTACCGTAAAAGGGCCAACGCTTTAATTCGCGAAGGATATGTGCCGATGTCTCAGTTTCGAGGATACCATTAATTGACGAGATATTTAAAAGGTAATAGGAAAAAGAATTCAAAAATTGGCCGATCCCCCCCCTTAACATACATATTGGGTTGTCCGGAAAATAATGCAGGATTTTAAGTTTTCATTAAAAAAAATCTATATAAAATATTCTGTTTACGTTTACAGGATTACTCATTTGTATGNCTACTCAGACGGAATTAATAAGTTACCAACACGTTGGGAGAAATGTATTGAGAGTATGGGAAATTATTTTGATTAAAGAACATTGCTTTAAAGTAACTAGTTCCTTTTTTTTTGTTTAATACCAAAATCCTGCATTATTTTCCGGACAACCCAATAGTTTTTTCATCGGCGAAAGCAATGTAACAATAACTGTTTAACTGTCGAACAATCTTAAAACATAAGAAACATGCACAAGAAACGTGCTACGTAAATTGAAGTAATAGTAAAAGTAAGTCAGATTACAGCGCAAAGCAAGCAACTTCATAAAAACCTTTGGATGACTTAAGGTACCTTCCACGAGTACTCGTTTCCGTCTGGCATTGTCAAATGTCCGTTTCGGCCATGGCCGACCAAAATGGTTAGAAACGACAGGTTCGTCAACCTCCGTAAGTCGAAACAATAGTAAAAGTAAGTAGCAAAAACATTAGTAAAAAGCAGTACCAAGGTCCTGCCTTGTATTTTAACCCTTCCTGAACGGACACCCCTCAATAACGGACAAAAACTTTCTTGCTTCGTCATTGATGGGTCTCAGTGTACATTTTTTGGTCAAATTTCAATTTTGGCGATCGATTCTAAATAAAACAATGGCCGACCAAATAAATTTATCACCCCCCCACCACATGAAGAAATCTCACACATTTGTTTTAAGGCTTACCTATAATTTTTGTCCGGGAAAACAATAGAATATAAATGTCGGTCAATCTTAAAAAATATATGAAAAATATAAAAAAGAAGCGTACTGCATTAGCCGAAATATAAAAATTAATGAAAAAGTGCAAAAACTAATATTTACTGTACATACGGAAGAAAGACCAATCAAAAATTACCAATAAATTGATAAACTGTTGAGACAATAAATAATAGATTGTTACATTAAATACTTAAGGGGAAAGGTTGTTAATTCAGCGTGCCCAATAATTAATTTTTCAATATAACATTTTCAATTGTTTCACGTCAAAACATAAATTTTACAAACAATATCAAGCTCATTGTCAAGCAAAAAATAAGTGACTATTCATTTTTACAAAAATATTCAAAGTAACGGACTGAATAGTAACTGTAAAAGAAAGTCTCTTTTAGTAAACAAAAAGTTATGAAAAAGAAAACAGATTTAAACATACACACACATGTACATACACAATCTACTGGTTGTATTCAATCTAAATGCTTGTAAATATAAATATAAAAAAACTATAAAGAACTAAGAAGATAACCTTCGTGATAATAGAAAAATAGTAAAACTAAATTTGACGACGGCCAAACATACAAGTGTGCATTTGGATGACATGAGCACGAGAGCTTTTTTTTCCGTCTGGGCATGTCAAGGGTCAGTTTTGGAGCCTTGTCAAAACAATATGAACTGGCTAGAAATTTCATTTGTTTACAACTGGCAGTTTAATCCATACCAACTTTCAAACTATAAGCTATTCTTAAATTTGAAATATAGTTTGAATCAAACGGGTCTGATTTCCTGAGGCTTCACTTTCGAACGATATTTGAACAAGATTGATTTTGAAAATTTCCTCATCTTCTTATGCGCTCGATTATATTGTGCATAAAAATGATGAATTCCATGATAACTTAGTTTGAACTTGTATGATATTCCATAAAAGTAAAAATCAAAAAATGGAAATATTGAACAAAATCAGGTACTGACTGAAATGAAAATACTAGATACTATAAAGAAAAAATGTGTAGGTTTGTGTTTTCTATTGTTTAAATCAATGAACTAAATAATTTTGTACTAAAAAAACAACAACTGAACAATACAGTTTAAATGGATTGAAGTCTTTGAGTAATGAGAGGTCCTGCCGAAGTGAACCAAAACTAAAAAATCCAACTTGTGCTGTTACATGTTTCTTTACATATCTGAGAATTCGTGGATAGTTGCCAAGTGAGCCAAGGAATCACAGTCTTAAATTAGATAACAGTTAACATTGTAACTATTTTGATTCCGTCCTAGCCGGGTATCGAACGGTTAGAGGCAAAACTATTTTGCGAATCGAAATGCGTTTGAGAAAAAAAATCAAATTAAACACTTTTATATTATTTTTTTATGACAATTAAAATTTGAAGTTTATAAAAATACTGCAGTTATTATAATAACATTGCTAGTCCTGCGCATCGCATGTGATTCAATCAATACGTGTCACCCAGTAAGTCAGTTCCGACTGACATTGCAGCTCTTTTGAAAACCATGCACCCCACTGCACCTAACAGGCTGGTTAATTTGTAACTGATTTGTGATGTTTTAAATGCTGAAAAGAAAATACTAAGGTGAAAATAAGGTGATGTGTGATGGGTGTTAAATGAAGCACGTGATAAAAACAGATGGACTAGGTAAACACGGTACGTACCCCAACGTGGTCATCGTGACGATGGTATACCAAAACGCCGCCGGTATCGAAGTGAAATTGGTGCCGTCCACGTTTTTCTCTGCGTAAAACATGACGGTGGCGAATATAATAATAGCCATGGCCAAGGAGAAGACGAGGAACCCTAGTTCCGAAGCACACGATTTCAACGTATAACCTAGAATACGGAGTCCTTGGGAGTGTCTGGAAAACTTGAAAATCCTGAACACTCTAAATACTCTTAAAGTGACGAAAGCCCCCGAAACATCGTCATTGTCCGTTATGCCCAAACCGATATAGTAAGGCAAAATTGCGACCACATCAATTATACTCATAACACTCCGTACAAATTTACAGCGATCCGGTGCGGCGAACAATCGGAGGAGGTACTCGGCCGTGAATATCATAACGCACGCCGTATCCAAACAGAAGAATACGATTTTGTACCGCTCCCCGCAAGGTAGAGTACCGGCTCTTCCTGGCCTATGACCGCAAGGTACCGTTTCCACGACGTTGGCCATCACAGATACAGCAATGAAAAACCCTGTAACATAATAGAAGACGAGGGCGGCTGTCGAAGTATGGGGATTTTCGAAAGCCCTCCACATCTTCTGCCTTATGTTGGTCAGCTGCGGCAAATTCTGATCTCCGTTCTCGGACAGTTTATCGTCCATAAGTCTCTCCGCGTTCTCTCTCTTCCTATCCCTGTAGTCTTCATAGCAGCAGTCGCCGATAACGTCAGGCAAAATGCCGAAAAACGCGAGCTCTTCATCGTAACTCGTCAGGCATTCGTGTTTCGGGTAATGGAGTTTCCCCGTCCTATAATAGTTCAGTATGTGGCGAAATATATCCGGGTCCCTGTCGAAAAAATACTCTTTACATTCCTCGTCGTAAAAAAACTCGCGTTCGTTGGACCCGAGGAGGGTGTCAGGATATTTTTCCAATGTGTTCCTCCACGTTTCGAACCTCCGGCCAGAAACGTTTATCAGCAGTTTCTCGTCGTCGGCCTTTCTCCTGTCTTTGGGTATAGGGGCGGGTGGTAGAGGATGGGTCGCTATAGGGACCCAACCTATGGCCGCCGCCCGGGCAAAAGGAAGCCAAGCGGCGACCGAGGCCATGCTATGAGGTGGAATCTTCCACTACACCAAACGCCTCTCACACCTTCCACTCGTCACACCGGATCACATCGCCTCCATCCACACCCTTGTCCATCATCCCATCCACTGTCGTACTACACCCGGCACAACATACCTACTGATGAAACCAAGGACGATTCCCCTTCCTACTCGGTTCGCTCCCTCTCCTACCAGCCGACTAGATTGATTTTTCCTCCTGGTGCAGAACGTGCGAGCTCTCTCGTGGCCCTCTCCCGTAACGTCGGCTCGTTCCTATGACTACCCGCTACGTCACCCTTGCTTTACTTCTTACCCTTTCATTTCAGATTCTTACGCGCCTATCGCCACCCACACCGGACTCGTACGCTACCGGCAATTTTTTATCCAACCTCCGCAACAATCACACTCAAACACCTCTCACTCCTATAAATCATACAAGGTTATTTTTGAAAAAACTTTGTACTCATTGGCTTTCCTCCAGCTGTTGTTTTGGTTAGTAAACTGTGTATTCCTCAACAGAATAGATCGTCGTAAAATAAATAAACAACGAGAACAACACTTTTTCCATGTGTAGAGATTAGTGACCGTTAATCGATAGTAATTCAGATATCGTGAGATGCGGTACATCACACCCGACCGCATCTCACGATATCTGAATTACTTTTTCCATGATTTTCCTATTTGAATAGGAACCACATTTGGTTCCTAGACATGGTAATCAAACGCGCACCTGTTTTCACCCTGTTGCCTGGGACTATTAACTGAATAAAATACCACCCTCAATCAAAAATAATTTCTTAATATTCTTAATTTCTTATTTCTTAAACATAAATCGCAAACCATTTATCAGATATCAGGATAGCAGGAATAAACAGAAATATGTAATTATTCGTTTGTAATGAGAAATTAATGAAGATTGCTCCTTTTAATAATTCTGTGCAAGACAATTAACAAAAAGTGTGTGATAAGTGACAAAATAAAAATGCTACAAAAATCTTCTTAAAACGTTAATCCATTTATGTTTTGATGGTCGATTGACCAAGTTACTTCTTTCAATTAATTATTCTTTTTATGCAAGGTCTTCTTAAAACGTTTTTTTCTGGGTGAATGATTTTTGTTACTCAATTTTCTCATTTCTCAATTGTCAGTCGTATTGTCAGTTCCTTGTAATTCAAGCCTAATCTACTTACAGTGTAACAATTATTTTGTTGTTAGCAATTAGCAATTTGATTTAAATAGTTATTACAATATTAAATATATCATTGACAAACCACCTTTTTCACGTCATACTTTCAGCCATTCTAGGCTAATTAACTACTTTTATCTTGCCATTCCTACATTAGAGAAGTGCAAAGTGACCTTTTTTCCTACTGAATAAAAATTGTGAAAGGAAAAAAAGGGGCAAACTGCAAATTGGCACGGAAAAGGCACATTCATGAGCAAGTTGTGGTCAAAAATTAAAACCTATCGTCTAACAATTCCGCTTGCCGTCCGACTTGAAATAATAATGCCAATCTGATCCAATTAGCCAGGGAGATTTATTAATTGTGTCATATCCAGTGCAAGGATAATTCGTATTCGTTGAATCGTCTATGTAATAAGTTGACGACGAACCTGGAACCTTCAAATCAAATACGGAATTATCGCTGTCCCTGTAATCTCCTCTGGGTTCGCTCGGGCCCTTTTGACTGTACTAATGCAAATCCAGCAATTTGCATGAATAGTGTAATTTTTAGATGATGAAGTTCAGAAATTTGGGAATTTCCAGTTTGAATTTTGAATGTGTTTTGCTGTAAATAAATAACTCGCCGATCCATTACATCTATTGTTTTATTTCAATAACATTTTCTGGTCAAAGAGTCGATTTTTGTTTGACATATACATTGCTAGTAAATAGATTAAAAATTATTCAGGCATTTTCTTCTATGGCGAAAAACCGACCAAATTAGTTAGATTTGTTCTTTGGTGCCACGAAGACAAAGATAACGCCGACAGACTTCACCCTTCACGACGAAAGAGACTTGACTTGCAGAAAAATCACACAAACACAACACTGAAGATGGCGAAACGAGTCTGACAGACCAAAATGATCGACTCAATTACAGGTTCATCACCTTGCACACCATACGAAGAAATCTCAAATTTTATATTTACCAACCATAATAATAATTGATTGAAATGGGTTGAAAGAAACTGGTTTATTAATTTAAATTTTTAAGGAAGATTTTAAAAGCAAAAAGGTATCGATGAGAAGTTGGAACGTTAAAATGTCAAACTTTGTTGAATGCCTTTGATAGATTGCAAAATGCGTATTGATTTTTTTTATTTCCAAGCCCTTTCTGTAACCGAATCGAGTTACAGAAAGAATATTGGGCTTTTCAAAAAAAAAATTCATAGCCTATTTTTGAAAGATGAAGTCACTATTTTTGAAAAGAGGGCTTAAAGCTTAAGGAGTTTACGCAAGTATTTCTCTGCTTGTAAATACAAAATTTTTAAAAAATAAAAATATTAATAAAAGCTTAAAATTAAAAATTTCCTCCCAGGGGTTTTTGGGTGCAAAAATCGAATATCAATTTGGTTTATTACAAAAACCATATTTTAGCCTTCTGTAATTATTTATTTCAATATCTACGATATCCATGGCTAGCTTCCAAATAAAATTTGACTTAGTGATCCGGCGACCTAGTAACGTAGACTAAAATATTGTTTTTTTAGCAAGGAACAATGTTGATACTAGTTTTTTGTACCCTCTAAACACCACTCTCGTATTCAAATTTTTGAGAAAACCAAAAAAATAACTTTTTCCTTAAATTTTTTGTCTTTCATTTCGTAATCACAAAAATGACAATATCTTGGAAACAAGTCCACCTATCTAACGGAGACTTTAAAGAAATGTATATCGCTCTAAACTACTCGCAATTGCATAAATTTGGACTCTACAAAAAATTAAAACCGGAGATATAAAATAGAACATGAGGTTTTTTGATGATTTAATCCTTATTTCTCCCACTTTAATGTGATAAAATTTAAACTTTGTTAACATGGCTTTAAAAAAGAAAATTTACACATTCCAACGGTTCTAATAACGTTCATAATGGATAAGATCTGGTGTTTATATGAAGTTTTAAGAGGAACATCGAACATATACTAAAAAATCTTCCATCTTCTATTCAGCTAAAAAATGTTCATTATTTTGTTCGCTATATGCTATTACAACAAAAACTTAATATTTATTATAACGGATTCACAAATTAGATTAGGTTAGAGTTAGGGTTAAGTTAGGTTAGGATCGTTTTGGCTAGGTAGAGTTAGGTTAGGGTTATGAACTATTTAATCTTTTTTCTTTTCTTTCAAATGACACAAAATCTAGTCATTGTTAATAATTTCCACAAGAAGAAAAATGGAGCTTTCCAACGGTGAACCTCGAATTTGGTTAGGTTTCAGAGGGTTATCAGTTTGTAAGAACACCAAACATACACCACTAAAAATTTCCCCCGGCTATCCAGCTCAAAAACGCTTGCTTTCTGTCTGCTATAAAAATTCTTTTTTCTATTCAAACTTTGCAAGAACAAAAAAAAATTGTATTTATTTTAACACGGATGTATTTTTAAGCTGGATCCACAAATTAGTTTAGGTTAGGGTTAGGGTTAGGTTAGGATCGTTTCGATTAGGTAGGGTTAGCTTAAGGTTATGAGACTATTTTTTCTTTATTTCTCCCATTAATAATGACAAAAATCTAATCATTGTTAACAAAATTTACAAAAAGAAAAATACTTTCTAACTGTTGTAATAGCTAAATTCATTAATTTCGTGGTCCGCTTGACCAATTAACATACTACAATTAATTAAGGTTTTTAGTTGAGATAAAAAAGTCAATGGCACGAAGTATACTTCACTAAAGCTCTCCGTGGCCATTTCATTTGTCGTCGAGAATCCAACCCGATTACATGACATTTGAAAAATGGCAAAAAAGGAGGGAATCGAGGTCACGAAAGCTCAGGTGGTAGAGCAGCGGCGTATCAAGCCAAAGATCGTGGGTTCAAATTTCGCTCGTGCCATTGACTTTTTTTATCTCAATTAAAAACCTTGTTGTAATAGCCTTGAATTTGAGTTATGAAATTTTCAGTGGAATACCAACACGTAGAAACAAGAAATTGCCTTCGACAGATCATGCCCAAAAATATTTATTTTTTAGTTGCTATGGAAATTCGTATTTCAGAGCATTTGCTTATCCTATGTTAAACAAACGACTGATATATATATAATATATTATATATATATTATATATATAATAACCTTGAAATACATGCACAACAAAGCTAGAAAATGATATTTTTTAAAAATTGGCAAGAACACTCAGACCATGTCTAGTATGTTTTGATCTATCATAAAAACAATCCGTTAAATACCCACTACCCGGCTTCTCTATTTACTAATGTACTACTATTTATAATGTCAGATTTAATAATAATTTAAATATTAATCCATTTATGTTTTAGTGGTCAATTGACCAAGTTACTTCCTTCAATTAATTATAATTTTTATGTAAGGTTTTGGTTGAAATGACAAAGTTCGTGTCACGAACGGGATTCGAACCCACGACCTTCGGCTAAATACGCCTCCGTTCTAACCACTTGAACTATAGTGACTTCGATCCTTTCGGAGACCATCTCTCCATCTCAACCTACGATAGCTGAAGTGGTACAGCAGCGGCGTATTTAGACGAAGGTCGTGGGTTCGAATCCCGCCCGTGACACTGACTTTTTTTATCCCAACCAAGACCTTACATAAAGAATAATTAATTGAAAGAAATAATTTAAATGTTATACCAGAGCGGGGGTTTGAAGCATTGGGAATCCAACGGGCAAACAATTTCTTCTTTAACCACAATTTACTATGCCGATTTTCAGAAATTTATTCCATGTGCGGCGTTTCAGTTTTTAAGAGATTAATCCTTTTTATATGGAGTTTTGTCGTTGTACCGTATCACCTCGATCCCTCTTCCATCTTGAGAGGATGTGTCTGGGCACCCAGTAGACATCGCTCGAAAACGGCTGATCGAAACTGAACAAATAAAGCGAGAATAAGCGGACTAGGATGATTTAAAGAGGATGGACTGACAACTGGTTCAACGTCGCTTTACAATAATTCCTGTTAGATAATGGAAGAAAATGAGGATCGATTTGAAAAACATCGGAGGAATTCGAATTACTTAACAAATTGCTATTAACAAATTATAATGTACTTTTTACCTTACGACCCAAATTTATGTCGCTTCTGCCTTTTTAACAGTTAAATTTATTTTCTAATTGGGAAAATTATAAAACTAATTTGCAATCAACAGATTTAAATTCATTGCAACGTACACTATTGATTGTCCTGAAACAGTAATAATTAAGCTGGGTAAGTTATGAAGCGTCTGTAAATGCTAACGTCAGCTGATCACTGAACCAGTCCTGGGTCAATCGATATTATTGCAGCTCAAAAGCTAATCCTTCCCAGAGCTAATTACGAGGCTTGCTCGAGACCCCTGACAAATCGCTACCATTCAGCCATGTTTCAGGCCGCTGTCAAACCACGACCCATTTTAGGTCCGTTACCATTTTAAGCGATACAACAATATCCATCTGGAGTCAGCAACCTTTCAAAAGTCCCATTAAAAGCCAATTTATCTTCCATGACCAAAAACCAAATCCTACCGCTAACAATTGACTTATAAACGATTGTTCTTTTATTGCAAAAAGAAATTCCACATAAAACGAAGCCTTGAACCAAAGTTGGTTGATATATGAGACAATAAATTACATGTTAAATCGTAAATATTTTTTGAGAAATTATTTATTTACCACGAATATATCGAAATTGTTCTGCTAAACGGGTTGGTAGGATGGCCATACAAGAAAATAACAGGATCGGAGAGCATGCTAAATTTTTGCCAATAAGAAAAGTCTGATTTTAATAACCTGCAGAATTTTTCTTAAGAAACCATGCCCGACAATGTTGACAGTTATTTTATTATTATTATGATTACTATAGAACGAAAAGTTCGAAAAATCCGAAAAAACTAATGGTCATAAAAATTAGAGATCGTAGAAGTCAGGAGAGGCGTAGCACAGACAAATTTCGCGCCGTTTAAGAATTCAATTTTTATTCCAATCGAAGTGGTCAGTCGGTTAAAATAGGTAAAATATTCTTTGAAACTCATAGAAGGTCAAAAGTTCAATTGCGAAAAGCATCTCGTCTGAGATTCGAAATTGTACAGAGAAACACAGTATCACGGAAGAAGTTACATCACAATCGATTCGCACTATCTTTCCGTAGTATAGTAAATACTTGGTATTGGATTTGAAACTGTGGACACGGGGATGTCTAACAACAAGATGGGTGGGTTGGTACATGTAAATAAAATGCAAAAGAACATTCAGCAATACTCATTTCTTAAATTTAGCCGTTTCCGTTCATCCTCACTGCTTTATCCTGTAAGAAACGATTTGAAATTTGCCGTATTCAGTAGAAGGTTTGTGTGGCCCTTGTCTTTGTAAAATGAGAATCTTACTAGTACTTATTATTTTATCCTTCAGGCCTGTCAAGCACTATAATAAAAACTGGAGTTTCTCAAGGATGTATCCTTGGTCTTTACGATATACACAACTGATATTCCTACTTCCTCAAACAAAGTCATCTCCACGCCTACGACACGGCTATCCTTTCTGAGCACAAGAGAATAATAATGAAATGTGTATAAGTGAGTTTCATGCTGAGAGTCACTGTGCCTTCTTCAGTGGAGGATTTGTGTCAATTGTTTAACTCGTGTCACATTCGTAAGTTTCTAAAATGTGAATCTTCTTAGTACTTATCACGGTATCCTTCAGGGACCCGTTCCTATAATCTAAAGTCCCTCAAGGAGGTATCCTAGGCTCGATCCGTTTTACAATATACACATCTGTATTCCTATTTTCACTGTGTCTGCATTATCCACGGTACATTAATCCATATGCATTTTAGTTAGTCCTATATGACCAAAGTAATTATTTAAATTTATTTAGAAATCGTGAGATGCGGTCTGGTGTGACGTAGGTTTCAGGGCACTCCCGACACGACACGCAAGAATGGCACAATACACACAAGACAAACACTTTGAGCCCTGAAGATGATCTCAATAAAGATCGAAACGTTCGCACGATAAAGAAAATGTTTTTTTGAAACCTACATCACACCAGACTCACGATTTCTAAATAAATATCGATTAACGGTCACTAATCACCACACATAATTATTTAAATTGATTTACACCAAAATACGCTACGAGTAAAGTAGGTAAAAATTGTTTTCGAATAAACCATTTTTAGTTTGTTATAGCATCCTATAAAACTATTAAATAGGAATTTTTATTGAAAACAAAACTGAACATTTCTGGGCTGAATTAGTAGCCGCAGGGCAAATTTTTTTCTCCGGCCGATGGCGGAAATTCTGCATAACAATTCATAACTCCTCTGCATTTGATGCAAATTCAACGTTATTACAACCATTGTCAAGCTGAATTAGCATATTTTTAGGCTGGGTCAACAAAGTTTAGATTTTATGACATTATAATTGGGCAAAATAAGGATAAGATCATCAAAAACGCCTCAAATGCTTTATTTAATATTTACGGTTCTAATTTATTTGCAGAGACCAAAGTTATACATGTATTTTAAAGGAATATAAATTGTTGTAAAGTCTCCGGTAGATAGGTGGACTTGTATCAATGTTATTGCCATTTTTGTTATATGGAAAACAATGAAAAACATATTAAAGCCGAAAATTTTGACGAAAATAGTTATTTGATGATTTTCTCAAAAATCTGAATACATCGGTTTTAGGAGGTAGAAAAAACGAATATCATCTTTATTTCTTTCTAACACAAAATTTTAACCTACTTTGTTAAGTCGCCCGGTCACTAAGTCAAAATTTTATTTGGAAGCTATCCAAAGGTATTGAAAAATAACAAAAAGGAGGGAAAATTCGAAAGGTTGGTGAAATGGTGAGTTGGTGTCCGAGTGGATCGAAGTCACGATAGGTCAAGTGGTAGAGCAGCGGCGTATTTAGCCGAAGGTCGTGGGTTCGAATCCCTCTCGTGGCACTAGCTTTTTCATTTCAACCAAAACCTTACATAAAAAGATTAATCAATTGAAAAGTAATTGGGTCAATAAACCACTAAATACAATTTTATTGTAGATATTGAAATACATGAATATAGTAAGCTAACATACGATTTTAGCAATACGCCAAATTGATATTAGTTTTTTCCAAAAATATTATTTTGGAAAAAAAGCGTCTTTCGGTTTTAACAACTTTTTATGTATCTAACCTTATCGAATTATTGATTATTGATCTTGCTCATTAGTTTCTTATTCTATGTAAAATTACAAATCTGCTGTTATATAATAACCTTGAAATAAATTCACATGAAAGTTGTACAGGTATTTTTCGACCTAGCATCACCAAAAAATTGTTGAAATCGCATGGTCCCAAGCCCACAGACTCCCCTTGTTAATAAGTACAATTTTTAATGAAGTACATTAGGATAAAAATTCAGTTAATACATATCGACACGGATCCGATTAAATAATTAATAAATCTTGATATGACTCCGTCAAGTCCTATAACGTTACATAACGTTGATATGTTATGTAACGCTCGCCCTCCCGTCGGCTTCACCCGGCTAAAAAGTCATGAAAGCCTCGTCGGCCCGTTGTCATCAGTGCGAAGAAGGATGGAGAAGAACACCGGCCGTAGGTCAGTCGCCGTCAAGAAAATCGAAGCAGAACAAACGGCAGACGAAAGCAGCGAGCCTGAAAGCGACAGCCATTATTATTACACTCCGCCGAATTGTAAGTATCACCATTATCGACAACAAATAATAAAATTGTCTGTCCAGTTGTTTTTGGACAGGTGGGTAACGTGTAATATCCACCTTTCTTAGTTCAGATTTTATGACGTTGTAAGTGAGACAAATAAGGAGGAAATCACCAAAACCACCTCAATTGGCTGCGTACTTGGGACCGTGGATTTCAACAAACGTTTTTTGGTGATACTAGGTCGAAAAATATCTGTACACCTTTCATGCGCATTTATTTCAAGGTTATTATATAACAGTAGATTTGTAATTGTATGTAGAATAAGAATGTTATAAGATATTTTATATCTCCGGTTTTAATTTATTTAGGTAAAACAAAGTTAGGACGTTGCATATAGTTTAGAGGGGCTTAAATCCCTCTAAAGTCTCCGGTAGATCATTGGAGTCGTTTCAAAATAATCATCCCCTTTGCGATTTTTTTAAATTAAAAAAATAAGTAGCATTTCGAAGACTAAAATTTCAAGTTTAGTTTTAGCCCATAAGATTGACCTAAGATTCAGTCTGACACCTAGTATTAGATATCACCTGAGCCTAACTTCAGTGGACAGAGAGAAGATGGTGATGATGATGAAAGGAGACTGGTAAGTGGCGGTTTATGTCATCATTGGATCCATGTTAGGTAGATGTTTTCTCAGATGCTATTGACCTATGGTCTTGTCATTCTTCTGAGCCTTCTCAAACTGTAGTAGTGATTTTGCCAATTCTGGTGTGGGTTGTTTTAGCATAAGTTTACTGCGTCTAGAGCCGATAGAGATTAGCAACTTCTGTTTTTGCCTATCTTAGATCCAGTCCAGAGGGAGGATTCTGTGTTTGTTTTTGTTATCCCAAGAGTCGATAGCTAACCGTCTTGCAGATCCTCTTCAAGCCAGTGCGTCTACTTTTTCGTTACCCAAATTCTTTTGCGTCCTCCACCCAAGATATTATGTTTCCCAGGTTTTTCCAGATTTTGGTTGCACTTATTGACTAGTTTTGATGTGAAGTTTTTTACATGGTGATGCTTTAATAGCTGCTTGGCTATTCGATCTTATGAGGATTTCTTTTTGTCAGTGAAACTACTTTCCAGTCAATGGTTTTAATAGAATACAACTCACAATTCTCAAGTAGCTTCTGTTTTCCGGTGGATAGAATCTCCCTCGTCAGTCCCACTTTAAGCTCTGAGCAGAGGACAGTCAAGCAATAGGTGCTTGGTATCTTGAGCCATGATGATAGTGGTTCATCAAATTACTAGTAGTTCCCTTGATTCCATTGTTGAGTAAACGAAAGGAAAGAGCAGTTTTGCCGGGGCTACACTAATCCCTTCCTCCCAATTTCCTCTCCTACTTCCACATCAGTCTCAATACCATCAGCGAATATGTTGATAGTTGCCAGTCTTGAGTCCTTTTGCAACTTTGTAAGCACTTTTTCTGATGAACCATTTTTTGAAGGTAATTGATCTGCTGGTACCCATGATATCATCAAGTTTTTTCCCCAGGTTTGGAGATTTTGGACTGCATACACTGAACGGAGCAGACCGACGTCTGGCGCGGGACTTCAAGAACACCGCAGTAGGTCTTGCAACGTTCATCTGCTATGAACTGTCGAGGTCATCGTATTTTTATATATGATAGGTTGGCGCCTTCATTGCAAAAAAAAATATAAATAAATTTAAAAAAAAAACAGCAGTGAATACGTTTTCACAGTTTAGAGATAAATCGTAGAAGAGGCTTATCCTACTCATCATAGGACATCGCAGTATGCTAGCAAAATTTGTCCGATGTGTCCTACCGGATTTATAGGCGTCCTTGGCTCTATATGGGGAGCGAGTAGAAATGCCACGCATTGATTTATTTGAGCCTATTGCTTCCTTTTTCCGATTTTTATAGAAAACTGATATAATCTACAATAAATAATTTAAACGTATATTCGCACAAATGTATAATGTGAGAGATCCGGTTGTGAAATATTGACTGCATCCACATTAAATTTAGTTTGTATAAAGCGCTGGAGGAAAATCGAGTACTTTATCACTTTAATGGAGTGAAAGTTTTTTTTTTATTTTGTACCAGAAAGAGTGTGTTTAAGAATGAGTGAGATTGTAAGAATAGATGTATGTTTAAGTTTAAAATTCTATGCATTGGGAGAAAAAATGGCTTGCCCTGGAACCTAACTTTACAAAGCAAGAGGTCGAATAAAGCCCAGTAGACTAACAGGCGTATAAAACTAATAATAAAGTATTTGTATATAAAACAGTATAAAGTATTAATTAATGTTTTGATGTAAGGTTTTGGTTGAAATGAAAAAGTTCGTTTCACGAGTGGGATTCGAACCAACGATCTTCGGCTAAATACGCCGCTCCTCTACCTCTGGAGTAACTCCCCATCTCAACCTACAACCTTTCGAATTTTCCCTCCTTTTTGCCATTTTTCAAATGTTGTGCAATCAAGATTAGATTGACATTTGAAGTGGCTACGGGAAGCTGTTAGTGAAGTTATATTTCGTTGTACTTATTAAATTATAAAATATATTAAAATGTTTTGTATATAATGTGGAAAATTGCTGATGGCAGCGTTCATTGAATAGGGCCCGTACCCTTTTTACACCGGGCTTAATCGGTTCTCGAGCAATCGAAGATTGATTATGAGATGTTCCCGTGTTTTGTTCGTGAATAAGATTTTCCCTTTTTTGCCACGACTTGAAATATGATGGCCTTTTTTGAAGTTATCTTATAGGCATTAATTATGTTGAGTTAATTTTGAGAGTATAGAAGCGAAAATTTATGTCTTGAACGTTCTGCTGGTCTGATATGATGGCCCATCTTGTAAAATTAACTTTTCTGGATTCTTTTTTGTCTCTATGAGCATTTTCTCTGCCGCTTAAAAAAGGTGTGACATGAAAATTATCTGGACAGTTTCATTGTTGATGACACTTTTGGATTTGGGTTGATAGTTCCATCGATTCTATTTTTAATTATACATTATTTAAATATATATAATTACAAAGTATAATATATGAAAAATATTAATTTTTCTAACGTACGGTGGATAACTGAACCTCTTTCGTGGGTTGAGGTTAGGTTAGGTAAGGTTTATAGTAACTCTTTTGAACGAATTATTATTACGGTACACTGTAGCTAATTTAATACTAATTAAGTATAATGATTAATTTTCAAATTAATTAATCCTTAATTAAGGTTTTTAGTTGAGATAAAAAAGTCAGTGTCACGAGCGGGATTCGAACCCACGAACTTCGGCTAAATACACCGCTGCTCTATCACCTGAGCTATCGTGACCTCGATCCACTCGAACACTTTCCATCTCTACCCCACCTTTTGAATTTTCCCTTCTTTTTGCCATTTTTCATTTACCTCAACCAAAGCCTTAATTAAAGATTAATTAATTGAAAATAATTTATTTTTAAATGAAATGGCCAAGGAGAAAAATGGCAAAAAGTAGGGAAAATTCGAGAGGTGAGGTTAAGTTGGGAAGTTAGACTCCGAGTGGATCGAGGTCACGATAGCTCAAGTGATAGAGCAGCGGTGTATTTAGCCGAAGTTCGTGGGTTCGAATCCCGCTCGTGACGCTGACTTTTTTATCTTAACCAATACCTTTCATAAATTAATTAATTGAAAAATGTTAATTGGCCAATCGGACCACGAACTGTAATGGAATTAATAATAAAATTAATAATTCTTGTTTAAAATTAGATTGATTGTCAGAGAACTTCTGAATGTTGTAAGCATTTCAAAAAAGGGTCGAATAAAAAAAAATTCAGTTTACATAGTTGAACAAAGGAGTTTCAGGATAGACATTTTAAATTTTAAACCTCACCCACCAAATTATTATTTTTTCTTTCTTCTTTTCTTTCTTTTTTTTACATAACAGGCAGGGACTCTCTGATCGCTCCTCAGCTTTCGCTGAGACGAAATCAATAGCTCATTTTCTATTGATCCAATTACTTAGAAGGCAAATTATGGGGAAAAAGTTGACTTGTTGAAAATTTACGGCCGGATGATCAGCCAATCGACAGGGATCGACGTTCGACGTTTCAGGTTAACACAGCAGGCCGGAAATTGCGTTCGGAGGATAGATTCGCCCCTTTTATTATAAATCACCATCATATGTCGGTTAATCCATTCTTCAACTTTAGAAATGTAAACCTTTTGTTTCATGTATTGTGAATTGTAAAATTTGCATCGTTCTAACGGTACAGCCGTCAGTTTAAATAGTAAATCACTGGGACCCGTTAAAAGCTTTTTGCGTTGAAGTTAAATCAGTCAAGTTAAATAATTGAAGTCTGGGATACCAAAAACGGTTTAATATTAACTTTGGCGTACTGTCTCGAGGTCCGTTAATAATTTTATGTGTTCTCTTTTTTTAGATCTAACTGGCAGTCTTTCGCCGAGGAAAGTACCCGAGAAACTTTTCAAGGTGATTATAATCGGGGATCCGACAGTCGGGAAAACGTCTTTTATCCAAAGGTACGTTCGTAACTCTTTCTCCAGGGAATACAAGAGCACGGTTGGCGTGGACTTCGCCTTGAAAGTTCTTCACTGGTACGGATCTCAGACGATTAAACTACAGCTGTGGGATATTGCAGGTAGTCAACCAAATCAAAACACAGAAAACAATTATTAGAAAAAGAAAAATAGATAAAAATCTATTTTGCTGGTTATTTCCTACCATTCCGGTCCGCCTGATCTCGCTATCCATTAGTGAAGATGGCGAGAGCAGAAACACGTCTGACAGACAGTAGGGTAGGGTAAGAAGACTAAAATGAACCAAGCTACAGGTCCAACAACCCACATACCCTAGAAATATCAAAAATTTATGTTTTGCTTATTTTTAGTTTGTTCCTTTTTTATTATGATTTCTTCGATATCAATGGTAAAGTGTGAAAAATTCGAATTTAGTAGTCATAATCTCGTCTAGACCAGTCTTGAGATTTTAACATAGATATGTTTTTAGTTTGGATAAATGTTTGCATGAACATTTTCGAGCGGGGAGCCGAGTGGTTAGCATGAGAGACTCTCACGCGGCGGTCGTGGGTTCGATTCCCACCGTCGCCTCTGGCCCTTTTTTCACAATAACCCCCCCCCCCCCCAGTTTGAAAACACATATATGAATTGTCACATGGCTAATATGCATAGTTCAAAACGCAAAACAAAAAAAAAACATTTTCGAGTAATCGATTTCGTGTTAACGGTGAGTGCGTATGGGTTGGTTCAGGTTAAAAATTGTTAGGCTAGGTAAGGTTACGAACGGATTAGGTTAGGTAGCTAGGGATGGAGTAGGCTAAGTTAGGCGGGTTTGGGGTTAAGGACAGGTATAGTTTGGTTATGTGGGTTTAGGGGTAGAGTAAACTATCTCATTTTGCCTCCTTTTTACCATTTTTCAAATGTCGTGCAATCTATTTGATTCTCGGCGACAAATGAAGTTGCCACGAATAGCTTTATTGAAGATGTACTTCATTTTACTTATTAAATCCATTAGATTCATGGTCCAATTGACCAAATAACTTCTTTCAATTAATTAATGTTTATGTAAGGTATTGGTTGAAATAAAAAAGCCAGTGTCACGAGCGGGATTCGAACCCAGGACTTTCGGCTACATATGCCGCTGCTCTACCACTTCAGCTATCGTGACCTCGGTCCACTCGGACATCAACTTCCCATCTCAACCCCACCTTTTGAATTTCCCCTCCTTTTTGTCATTTTTCAAATGTCGTGTAATCTATTTGATTCTCGGCGACAAATGAAGAGAGCCACGGAGAGCTTTAGTGAAGTATACTTCATTTTGCTTATTACATCTATTAGGTTTCGTGGTTCAATTGACCAAATAAATTTTTTTCAATTAATCAATTTTTAATTAAGGTTTTGGTTGAGATAAAAATGGCATTCAAAAATGGCGACGGCAGCGGCGTATTTATCCGAAGGTCGTGGGTTCGAATCCCGCTCGTGATACTGACTTTTTTATCTCAACCAAAACCTTTTTTAAAAATTAATTAATTGAAAAGAATTTATTTGGTCAATCGAACCACGAAACCTAATAGGTTTATTTCAACTATGATATGGATTGAGTCGTGAATAAAACTGGTTTAGGTTGTAAAATAATTCATTCAGTTAATTTTATGATACATTAAATATTGATTATAAAATAAAATATTGAGTAAATTATCTAGAAATAGGAAAATATCTTCTGATCAAATTTAATTAGCTCAAATATGTGAATGTTTTTGTTAATTAATAACATTTTAATTTAAGTTAATTGAAAACTGGATAGATAAATGAAGATTATCATTCCGCTTTTTTCTTGTCGAATTTTTATCAGTAAATGTTTAGTAAATTACATCTAATTGCCTAATAACAGGCTTGTCGACGGATTGCAATGTCATTCCGGAAATTCCTTGTGATGTTTTAATTGGCTTTCATCTTTATTAGTTGGACGTAAAGTATTGCCCTCTTTCTTAATTTTCTATGTTGTCGTCATGTTTTAATAGGTTTTAATGTACCACTGTGGTGATTTGTGGACGGATACCCTTCCCATTTCTGGTCTGTTATTTGAAGAAGGGTCACATCAAAAACACACAACAATAAAGCGGGGAAGATACTTACCCGATGCATCGCTATGCGACGCTACCCGATGCTACTCGACGCCTTGTTTCGTTTTGGTAGGGTGTGCACGTCTATGCGACGTCAAGCCCACGCCACGTACAGTCACACAGCGTGTATCACAAATCAGTATCACAATCGCAACGCCTCTTTTGTTCTTAATGCATTATTTTGAGCAAAACCTTGAAATAAATTGTTAGTTAAATTTTATGACCACAACCATGTAATAAATTGTTTGTTAAATTTAATTGTTTTAAATAAAGTTATTCTGGTATTTTAATAAATTTTCTGCCTAACCATCACAATTAAATAAAATTTAGAAAACGAATTTTTGATCTCGTTTAATTTGGTTTAAATTAAAATAGGACTGTTGTAATTAATATGACGACAAAATTACATATACATAGTTTGAAATAAACTACAAAAAATATGAGTGTCCGGTTCTGACGCTACTTGACGAAAATGGTATAATTGTATGAGCAAAACCATGAAATGAATTGTTAGTTGAATTTTATGAGTAAAACCGTGTAAAAAATTGTTCGTTAAATTCATTATACCAAAAAAAGGTATTCCGGTGTTTTGTTCAATTTTTTTTCCTAATCATCATAATTAAATAATTTGAAAAATTCATGAATTTTTGATCTCGTTTAATTTGGTTTACATTAAAATAAGAATGTTGTAATTAATATAACGACAAAAATACATGTAGTTTGAATAAAAATATGCGTGTCCGATTCTTTTGTCGTCGACTGTACTCGATGCTACTTGATGACAATCTGTACAGTGGGGATCGCAGAGCGTAGAGTAGCGTAGCGTTGCATAGCATCAGGCAGATGTGCATAAAATCGTATGGAAAATTGGACTTTGGATTCGCGTCGGGCAGCATCGGGTAGCGTCGCATAGCGATGCATCGGGTGTGTTCCCCGCTTAAATGCTAGTTTAAAAAAAAAGATCATGATTTGTTACATAATTTTATTTATGCCCTGCTAATAATAAATTGTTCATGTTTTTTTAGGCCAAGAAAGATTTACTTGGATGACAAGAGTGTACTACAAAAATGCGCACGGATGTATAATAATGTTCGATCTCACAAACAAAACCTCATTCGACAATTCGTTGAAATGGAAAAAAGATTTAGATTCGAAATGCTCTCTCGGGGACGGATCTCCCGTCCCTTGCATGCTGTTGGCTAACAAAGTATGTTATTTTATGAGTTTTAATATTGTCTAAAAAAATCAAAATCTAAAATCAAAACTTATTTTTTTAAATATGCGAAATGCTTGTGTTTTTTTTAATTCTTTTTGGGAATTCTTCAATTTAGTGGAATGGCGTTTTTTCGGTGTGAGACGATCAAATTTAACCATTTCCGAAGCCTATGATCTCTGGATTTCTCTCAATCTCAACTAATCTCTGGATTATCATATATTTCATTTATTTTTATTACAATTTGTACAGACTAAATATATTGTGAAATGATCAATCCAATATTTTTGATTTCACTTCGTTACATCCTGAGGGGAGCCAGCAACTTGCTCTTCCAGCTTTTCTCAACTGTTACCTCAATGACTAGGCGGTCCTAAGACCATCTTCGATTCTGTTGCCTGACTGGATTGAATTATGTTTTTAACGATTATTTAAAATTATAAAGGTGTTGGTGATATAGCAGGGATTGTTGACAACGGTTTTGAAGACTTTGGATTAGAAGGAATGTATTTTTTGGATTTTTGAAGGTTTAGCGAATCTCCAATATCGTGGGTACTCTTGAGGTGTGGATTCCACGTTATCTTTGGTCAAGAACTCTCTCATGAACTTCTTTTGAACGCTTTATTTTATGGTTTCACTGATTTAGAGCTGTAAGGTTTAGCTTCTTTCTCCATGTGAATGGCACTATAGTTACCTTAGAGTGATTGTTGAATCTTTGCTTGACATTTCAGTTTTGTATTTAGGACTTTTTGCAAAAATTAGACTAGGTGTGGTCAAATTGTCTTTGATTATTATGTCAATACTACTTCAAATTGAGGTTACCTAATGAAGGAGATCATCCACTACCAGTGACCATTAGAGTGATAGTACCTTTGGGGCAGCCTTTCAGTGGTTGTATTGTACTTTTTTTCCTTCCCAAATAACAAAGGGGATTAAAATTATGTAATTGAAAGTTATAATTTTACAAATTTAAGTGGAATATGAGGATAAGCGAGAGGAATTTGATTGAGCTTGAACTTACCGGTCAAAAGAAACGTTCCAGCTAGAAGACAACAAAACGGCCCAGAGGTTTTCCTTTCTCATACAAAATGATGAATTGGTGGTGGAAATTGGGGTCCAGTCAATGAAACTGGTTTAAATTGCAATATTCCTTTTGGGAGAGGTTTTTTACGGGCATGGACATAAAATGGCCTAACTTTGAGCACCACATGGTCCTCGGCCTCACAACAATCTTTCAAGTCGAACTGCTACCTATAGAAACATCTGCACATGAAATAATTAACAAACATCCACTATGTGTTATAAATGAGCTTTTTTTTTTTAAAGACCATGTGTCATATATATTGACTATGTGTATATTGAGTCAAGCATCTGATCGAGAGTGAAAATAGCAAGCTGAAAATCATTTTATGTTCTTTCTATAAGTACCAAGATCCATTATTTGAAGAGGCTGGTTCTACTCAAAAAATTGGTTTTGTACTGACCCGGATTTCGAGCACTAAATGTTCATACACAAACTATTCAGTTTTCCAAGCAGAATGTAGACAGTGACTTGAATCCCCTGCCAAGAAGTTTTTGAGTAGAACCATCCATTTCAATTATTAAATTTGTATAATCCATCAAAACAAATGGCTTTTGGGCCAAAACCCGTGCATGTGTTCGGCATATAGAGAAATGGGGTGCCTGTATAAATCAGTCAATAATAAATCTATCAATATCTTTTTGTTTGCTTTAACTGCGCTTTCCATCTCAGCTTGACATCTAAGGTCATTATTCACAAATATTTAGCTTTATGATCAGTCAGCTCATTCAATTATTTCGTGGCAAAGTGCAAAGCTCCATTGACAACGAGGTCATTCACCCCTAACGCATACACTTTTCATCTAGACACACTACTCAATTGAGTAAAACTAATTCGTTCTAATGTTTCACAGGTTTGTGGATGAGGTCTGCCCCGAAGGTTTTATCAGTAAATTAAGACGAATCCAAACTAGTATATAAATAGTAGATGATGGGGTTTGGTCTGCGAGTTGGCGAACTCATGTTGAACTGGCACACGGGCACTACTGGGTCTGTCTTCACTCGCGGGTTTTTTGTTTGAGTTATTCAAATGCGTTTCGGCATTACGCCATCTTTAGTGAAAAACTGTTACCGACCAACGAGCACGAAGACCACGCCCCCTAACGCAACGCCCCCAGCGACAAGCGACGGACGCAAAACTATATAAACCTTACTCAGACAAAATGACAGACAGTTTTTCGCTGAAGATGGCGTAATGCCGAAACGCGTTTGAATAACTCAAACAAAAACCCGCGAGTGAAGACAGACCCAGTAGTGCCCGTGTGCCAGTTCAACATAGTATATAAATGTTATCACTTCCTACTTGGAGGAGCACTTGTCCACATAGGGAAGCGTGTTGAAAATGAATATATATTGACGTAGGAGTATCCAAGTTGTTAGTTCATATGTAGATGAAAAAAGAACAGGTGATAAACAGCATTCTTGTAAGACACTTCTGTTGATTTTGCTCGACCCATACAATTTCTACCTAGTATTCACGAGAGTTTCAATCTTCTCAAATAAGTTATTCATGAGCTGTATGGAATCCTGTGCTCTGTTATGCTCCATAAGAGGCTTCTTTTCACTCATAAATAGTGTAATAAATGTTTCATCGTCAATTTTCAGTGTGACTTAGAAGACAGAAGGGTGGAACAGCTTGATATTGAATCTTTCCACAAGCAACACAACTTCATTGGATGGACAGAAACATCCGCTAAAGAAGGACTAATGGTCAACGAATCAATGAGGTACGTAATTTGGTACGGGTACGAACGGTAATTTTTTAACGTAAAATATAAATAAAGGCAATTGCTTCGTTATAAAAATACCTGTTTATTGTGCTTATCATGCTAGTTTTTACAAGAAAATCAATGAATTTTCACTTATAATATTCTAATCATCAATTATGTTAACATGACTTTTTTTCTTTTATTATATATAATTTATTTTATTATAACTCTACAAAACTGATTATTTGATAATTTGTAGATTCCTTGTTGAAGTAATCATGCAGCATGAAAGTGCAATTACTGCATCGTGTGAAACACGCTACGTCATATCGGTAGCACCTGGGGAAAAAGAAACGAAAAAATGTTGGTGCTGACGATCCAACACGACGTAATTAATTTACATAACAACCCTATAAAATAATTTCATACTTTCTGAAATTATTGTTTGTCAATGCACTAATTATCTAGTGACCCTAATTTAAAATCTAGTATTAAAATCTGGACCTCGTTATGGTCTGGTTAAAAAAAGAAATTCATTTGTTATCTGCCAAGCTTTCAACCTATTTTAAGGTCATCATCAGGGCAAAACAATATTAAAGCTGTTCACAAATCGACATAATTATGTTTTTGATACTTTTCCTTATTTCTTTTAAGTGCGACTCAGTTCCAACAATTCCAAAGGCATTTTTAAGATTGTTTTGAATTAATTGAATTTGTTTTTTGGTTTTTTCACCCAGACCATACCGATATCCAAATTATGTTTAAAAATCTAGCACCAAAATTTCATAAACTGATTCTAGTTCAAAATCTATCGATAATTATTTGGTCAGCGTTATCCTCATCCAATTCCCTTTTGAATGATAGTTTAATAAATATATTATATAATAAATACTTATGGTTATGTTATTTTCTAACAATGCATTTTTTTGTTTGCAAACAAATATATATTATTTATTGACTAGTAGAAATAGCTATTATATATTTTTTCTATTAAATTTTTCCATTTGTGCCAACTATTTTTTTATACAAAACAATACTATGGTAAATTACACAAAACTTTTCGTTACCGTATAAAAGAAAAAAATGTTCCAAAAAAACTAGTCAATAAAGAAACTATAATGTTACTTGTCAAGGTAATAAGTACTCGTTAAAAAAATCTTGATGTATTAAATTTATAATATATAAGATTTTTATATATATTATTTTCTATTTAACATTCTACGTTCCAAGATATAATTTATATCATTACAAAAAAAGACTCATTTTTTGATAAGTAAAAATGTATGTAAATGTGCATTTTTCTTGATGTTAATAATGCAATCACAGAAGATCTGAAAAATGTATTCATATTGTCAAAATCATTGATTTGTATATTTTCTCATAAAAATAATTGACATTTTGCTGTTTCAGTCTTCCCAAGTTTAATTTTTAACTTATACATACTTATAACAGCAAGTGAAGTAAGCTAACTTTATTACATGAATAGGGATTTATTAAAAATCTAATTTTACAAGATCTTTTTTTATATAATTGAAATTATATTACAAATATATTGTTCGATTGTTTTGATTACACAGTATTAAAACATCAACGGTTTTTACAATTTGGAATTACCCCTTTTTAATTTCCTGCGTACAATAGACAAATAAAAGAGGGCAAATTTTGCAGGATTTTGTACAGGGCCTGGATGAAATTGTATTAATAAAATATAGATTTACCATTTACGATTATACCAAAACTTATAAAATTTTCTTTTACAAACTTTTAAATTTGTAACGTTTTATATTTTTTAAACTGTAATGGTGTACATCATGTTATTAACTATCGTGATTGGAGAAAATACAAGAAAAGCTCTAAACTTAATAAATACGACTACATTTGTTATCACAATTTGCTGATGGTTCTTTTCCTAGACGGAAGAGGAATGTTTTACATTATCAAAAACTTGGACAACATTCACCTTCTTAAACTACATTTTATTAAATCAAAATATTTACGTATTTACAAATTATGCTGACCTTATGACCGTACTAGATCTACTCACATACTTTGGCTCACTTTCAAAACTAGAAATCGATAAATTTAATTATGTTGTGATTTTCTTAAATATTAAACCTTATTATTTACATCAATTTTAAATATTTACAAAATTTGAATGGAAATCGTGCCACTATCCGTTTTATGCTACTGAATGGGCGTTGTAGGTGCTGTGAAAGTATCTTGTCTTCGATGTAATGTCAAACTACTTCTCATTTCCTTCACTTTACTTTCAATTGATGCCTTATGCTAAAAAATAAAATAAAAAGTCAATTATAATAACGCATCAGATTTATTTATTCACGTGCCAAGTTCTTAAAGCCAAAAAATCAACTTCAGTCCAACGCATATTTAAATTAAGGAGATTGAAAATTAGGCCATTTTTTAAACAATAATTTTTTATTTGTACATATAAAAATACATATTATAAATATGTACGTGTGTGTGTTTTTTTTACCCAGTCGCAACACACACTATGGCCAGTATTGCACACGGAGGATACATGCTAAGAGAAACCAGCCAATATGAAGAATTAAGGAGCCAGGAGGTTGAGGCCATCATTGTTTATGTAATGGGAAGGGTTCTCAAGACAGGAAATAGAGTAAAGCCGGGAACACACTTACCCGAAGCAACGCCATGAGACGCTACCCGATGCTACCCGACGCAAATCCAAAGTCCATTTTTCCATAAGAATGTATTACCCCCGTGCACATCTGCCCGATGCCACGCTACGCTACCCTACTCTACGCTCTGCGAAACTGTCCAGATTTTCGTCGGGTAGCATCTAGTACAGTCGAAGACAAAAGAACCGGACACTCATATTTTTATTCAAACTGCATGTATTATTGCCGTTATATTAATTACAACATACTTATTTTAATATAAACCAAATTAACTGAGATCAAAAATTCATTAGTTATTATTTTAAAAATTAATTTTAATGGTTTGATAGAAAATTGATCAAAACACCGGAATACCATTTTTTGATTTTTGATGTAATTAATTTAACTAACAATTTATTACACGGTTTTGCTCATAAAATTTAATTAACAATTAATTTCATGGTTTTGCTCATAAAGTTACACTTTTTGTCGAGTAGCGTCAGAACAGGACAATCATATTTTTTGTAGTTTTTTCCAACTATGTATATGTAATTTGTCGTTATATTAATTACAACATTCTTATTTTAATATCAACCAAATTAAACGAGATCAAAAATTCATGAGGTTTTCTAAATTTTATTTAACTATGATGGTTAGAAATGTGTGGTGATTAGTGACCGTTAATCAATATTTGTTTAGAAATGTAAACAATGTTTGTAAATCCCAGGCCCTGAAGATGATCTCAATAAAGATCGAAACGTTGGCACGATAAAGAAAATGTTTTTCTGAAACCTACATCACACCAGACCGCATCTCACGATTTCTAAACAAATATGATGGTTAGGTTTTTATTTAATTAGTTAAAATTGATCAAAACACATGAATAACTTTCCTTAAAACAATTAAATTTAACTAACAATTTATTATATGGTTGTGCACATAAAATTTAACTAAAATTTATTACATTTACAATTACATTATTTTGCACAAAAGAGTGCATTAAGAACGATAGAGACGTTGCGATTGTGATACTGATATTTGATACACGGTGTGTGACTGTATGTGGCGTGCGCTTGACGTCGCATAGATGTGCACACCTACCAAAACGTGGCAAGGCGTCGCATAGCGTGGCATCAGGTCAGTGTGTTCCCGGCTTTAAGATAACTAATGAATTTTTGATCTCAGTTAATTTGGTTTATATTAAAATAAGTATGTTGTAATTAATAAAACGGCAATAATACATGCAGTTTGAATAAAAATATGAGTGTCCGGTTCTTTTGTCTTCGACTGTACTCGCTGCTACCTGACGAAAATCTGGACAGTGGGGATCGCAGAGCATAGAGTAGGGTAGCGTAGCGTGGCATCGGGCAGATGTGCACGGGGGTAATACATTCTTATGGAAAAATGGACTTTGGATTTGCGTCGGGTAGCATCGGGTAGCGTCGCATAGCGTTGCATCGGGTAAGTGTGTTCCCGGCTTTAAGAGTTTGTCCTTTTTAAATGGCCCGGCTGAATTTCTCTTCAACCAATGACTCTGCCAAAAAAAAAAAAAAAAATTAGCCTTGTACCTACTTTTACCTTATTTTGGAGAAAAATTAAACAGGGCACCTAAGGCCTAGTTCAACTTCAAAATTTCAAGTACGGTCCTATACATTGTGACACATCATTTTAAAGGATTTTGTACACTGAAAAAAAGTGCTGCAATCGGAATTTAAATTGGTCAAAAAATGACAAAGTTATAACAGATGATTATTTTACTCTCTCCTTTCTCCGAAATGTTGGAAGGGTTTTAGATTTTTGAAAAAATAAAACTAGAGATTTCAATTTTAAGTCGCTCCCAACTCGTCCAGGGAATCTGATTATGGCAGGCGTTCCTTGCACAAATGTCAATTTGGGAGGCTGAAGAAAATGTTCTTCCATAAATCCAATGGACTCATGAATCCAAGTTCACCTCTAATGGCATACTAACCCGTTGGAATCTTTAAACGTGAGGGAAATCCAAAAATTTCGTACTCTGTTATCATCAGGTGGTTCATAGTATCAACGTTTGGTGTGTACTTCTCGGAAATAAATTAAACAAATTAATTGCTCAGTGCCTCAATTTTTTGAGGTAGGTTTTACCAAAGGTATTAGATGACGTTCCTCTGCAACAACGACAAAGACTGATTCTCCTGCTTGGTGGATTCTTTGCAGGTGAGAGGTTATTTGAATCGTCATTTCCGTGAAAGGTGGATAAGACTTCTTGGCTAGATCTGTTGGCCTTCTCGGTCACCTGATTCAACACCACTTGGCTTTTCTGTGCGGCCATTTAAAAAACAGTGTCTACACCAAACATAACCCAGAAACTCAGTTGAAGAACTGCGGCAGAGGATAGAAAATGCTTGTCAATTCATCTCCCCTGACTCCGGTCCCTCTGAGCACAAGTGAAGATTGGTTAAAAAGAGGAAATCTTTGCATCTTTATGCAAGGCAGGCAGTTCGAACATGAATGTGATTAATAAAAAGTAAATCAAATAACGGTTTTTTTCAAACTTTTTGCCATGAGTTTGTCATTTTTTGACCTATTTATATTCCGATTGCACTTGTTTTCAGCCTGCAAAGTCCTTTAAAATAATGCGTTAGGATGTATAAGGTCGTAACTGGACTAAAAAATATTAAACACGTAGTTTTTGTTTTTTTGATAGCGTCATTGGTTCAAGAGAATTTCAGCCGGGCCATTTAAAAAGGACATCCTGTATATCCGGCATGTCTCAATGTGTCCCACTTAAATGACGGGTGCGATTACGTGGTTCCATGTAGAAAGCGTGTAGGAATGCCCCGCAATATGAGGACTGTGCTTGGGGATGGCAGTAAATTTTTCGGTCCCCTGTTTCTTTGTGCATATTGAGAATGTATTTATTAGCGTGAATGTGATATTAGAATTGGATTAATTGTACAATAAATGAATAGTGGATGGCATGTAAATAGAAAAGATTGTATTTAAGAATGAGTGGGTTTGGTTTTAGGAACTGATTACGTTGGGGGCTGAAATTGACCTCGCTATTGGCAGCCCTTGGAATCCAACCTCGGCGGCTGGACAACACCGAGATCTGCCTCCTGACTGCCGACACCTTGGTTGGGTGAAATATATATATATATTGGGTTGTCCGGAAAATAATGCAGGATTTTAAGTTTTCATTAAAAAAAATCTATATAAAATATTCTGTTTACGTTTACAGGATTACTCATTTGTATGAATGTCAACACTTATTAATCCTCTTCCANTATATAAAGTGGAAGGTTTATGGGCCGACAAACAGCTGAGGTCATCGCCGGCCCTCCGCGTGCATTCTTTCTTTTTCCTGTCTTTCTCGCGTATTTTGTATAGAACTGCAGCCATTTGAACATATCGATCTGGTTACTGACTCTCTGCTCTCTGCTTTTACTTGTATATTACGTCGTTATTTTAAAAAGCTAGCCCCTTTTAGTACCTCAGGTTGTCAATTTAAGAATAGATACTCAACATAGAATACATAAGATATATATCGCCACAAACATAGAAGTATGGTCACATTCACTCCCCCAGAGTACTCGATATTCCTCGGGGCGGGGTTGAATCCACTCCATTCTTGCTAATAACTTACTTTTACTCTCCAGACGTCACACACTCACCCCAGAGTACTCGATATTCCTCGGGGCGGGGTAAATAACCCCTTCCTTTCATGCATAAATTACATTCATTCCAATAGAGTAAAATATAAACAACATACAATACTAACGTAAAAGTCTGGTCACATTCACTCCCCCAGAGTACTCGATGTTCAGCGGGGCGGCGTAAATAACCCCTTCCTTTCACGCTTATAAATCACATTCATCCTAATATATTAACATAAACATCACACAAACACGGCACACACACTTCAGACACAACACAAGCACAGCTCAAACACACATAAACTATATACATTTGAAAACCCCTATAGCCCTGAGGTACCGGTACAGCGATTTGTGCCCGCTGCCGTGCCCCAAGATTACGCACAGGTCCGATGATATTCCAAAATATTGCCTATAAACGTCGAGCCTTCTACAATTGAAAAGGTGCTCGACTGTTACTCTATCCTTGCATAATGGGCACCTATGCGGTCGCTTTCCTGCTAGAAGGTGCCCGTGCGTAATTCTTGTATGACCTATGCGTAGTCTTGTCAGTATGACCTTTTCTCTTTTTGACCCATTTTCTGTGAACCAGGGACCGACGTCTTTCTTAACCTGCCATAGGTTGGCAGGGTTATTTCTATTTTTCCGAGCCCAGCGGTTTTTCCATTCTTCTTTTATCGTATTTGAAATTAATAACTTGAGGTCCGCTGGGCGTATTGGTTGGGAAGCGTCGTGAGGTCCTCTGGCTGCTTCTTTGGCCGCCCTGTCTGCTGCTTCGTTCCCGGCTATCCCTATGTGGCCGGGAACCCACACTAATACGACCTTCTTCCCAACTGTGTCGATCCCTTTTAATTGTTGTTTTATTTTGTTTACTAATGGGTCCACGGAGCTTCTTCTCCTGAGATTCTGGACCGAACTGATCGAGTCGGTATATACTACAAATGATTCGTGACGCTGACTTTTTACTATGCTCAGTGCGAGGGATTTAGTTCATTTAGTTCCGCCGTGTACACACGGAGTGACAATTTTTTTGTTTCTCCCTCCGTATACACGGCATACCCCACGCCCTCTGCCGTTTTTGACCCGTCTGTGAAGACGGGTCTGGCATCTCTATATTCGTTTTTCAGGGCTTCAAAAATTCCTTTATATACATAGTGGGGTGTCTCGTTCTTTTTTAATGTTGCTAAATCCCACCGTACGATAAAGTCAGGGAGTAATCAGGGGGGTGTTTCAGGTAGTTTTTCTGCCTCCACTTGGTTCAAGTCTACTCCCCGCGCCGCTTGTATAAATCATTTATCAGTTGTTCAAGTCTTATATTACGTTTTTGCCTCTTAAGTCTTGTTTGGAGATGGCAGTCAGCTGTCTACATAGTCCTAATTATCCAGACTTAAGTGGCTGTCTTTTGTTTACGAACAGTAGAGAACAAGTAAATGTACACTGTTTACGTTTTTTCTTAGTCTTTTCCTCGTTTTTCTCCATCAGCCATTGTTAACCTCTAGGTGTCTTTGGATGTTGGAGATTGCTTAGGGTCAGAAGACAGAATTGCAGTATGATCTGCATGGGAGGTAATGATTGTGTTGGGATGTCAAAGCCTACAAAAGGTACTCCCTTATAGGACAACGGCTTGTGTTGATCCGATATCTGATATCACCTCACTTAGCAGCGGTCAGTTACATATGATTCCAGGATAAGGTTGTAAGGAGTAGGAAGCGTTTTAGTTTATAGATGCCAGACCATCTCAAAAGCCTGGGTTACAATCTAATTTAATTTAATTTTTGATTGACGAAATCAATTCTGAAGCCATGCTGGATAGTAGATGGGGCAGATGACGAAAAGGTGAGAAGGAATGATTTCATGTGAATCTAGGATGGGTATTAAACATTTTAAAAAGAGTCTTTTGGGGCTATTTGATATCTGTGGAAAACTGCTGATGAGTCTGTAGGAAGATGGTAGGGCGTTTTGTGAGCGTTAATGGAGAATGTGTGGAAAATTAGACACTTCCAAGTTGCAGTATACTTTTGTTAAACTGGGACCTTTTTTTAGCTTATCCAAACTGGTTGTTTATACTATATATTCAGCAAAATACAGCTGTAGCAAGTCGAAAAAATATAGGGTATTCGACTGCTCCCTTGTGGGACGCAGGGTTGTATTGATTTCAAACATTTATAAAATATTTTACCTCCAGTTCTGTTTGTAATCTTGCTTTCATATCATTCACATTTTGCTCCAAATGCTTAATTTCACCTTGCAGTCTTTTAGCCATTATGGTGTAGTTACCCTGAAATTTTTACATATGTTTAAGAACTTCAATTATTGCGCTTTTATAGTAAAATTAATGAAAATATAATTGGCATTCATTCCTGTCACTCGAAAAAATAGTTTTTGTAATTATTTGAATGAAGACCTTACAAAAATATAAGGTAGCTCACCACTCGAGACGGTGGTGGTTTGTTTCCTTTCGAATTCAGCACATCCGGTTGTTGAATTTTATGTAAAGTGTCCTTACTCCCTGCTATATGATCCTGCTTGATTTGCATTTCAATATTGTCTTTTTCAGCGGTTAGAAAATCAATTTCTTTCTGTTCTTCTTGCTTCATTTTTGCCCACATTTGATTTATCTGTAAATGGAAATAATTCTAAACATTTCTAACACACGTACTTTTTGATTTTTATAAATGAATGTAAAAACATCAAGAATTTTTGAAAAATGGTCCTGTCGATAACATTACTTTTTCACGTAAAAACTATGTAATTCGCATCCAATTTTTCAAAAATCCTGGTACGTAGGAAGTAAAGTATTGGACCTAGTATCCCCCCTTGAGGCACTCCAACAATGGAACACGTAAGACTACCGGACTCCTAGATACCAAATGATTAATGTAGCAGTGGCATAAGTGTTTAAAAAAGCTCTATGAAAGGCTATGGAATATGATGCAATTGTTTGTTTAATGTTCAAATTTATATGTACGGATTTCATTTGATCCATCTTACTTTTCCAGTTTCTTGTCCTCTGATTTAACTTGTACAATAGCAAGTATTTTGGAAGAATGGCCCTGTCGATATCACCCCTGTTTCATATGCAAAATTTTGCGCAACCAATTTTTGGAAAATCACTGGTATATAGTAAATAAAGTATTGGGCCTCTCTTGAGGCACTCCCAGAATGGAACCCATAACCCTCTACTGAACTGCTAGATCTGAATGATTAATTCATTAATTATGTAAAAATTGAATAAAATATGTTAAAAGGATTGTTCGCAAATCTAATTTTACAGTAACTACTTCGCCTGTTACTTATCCAAAAATATTCATACACGGGCAAACTATCATCTTGTGGTTTGGTGAACTAAGAAATTACAGCTAAGGGCGTTTCAGATCCTCAGAACTCTTCAGAGATTGGCATTTCTGAAGATCACTGGGGCAAGAAGAACAACCCCCACGGCTGTCCTGGGAGTTCTTATAAGTCTACCACCACTACACATCTTTATCCAGGGAGAGGCCAAGGCCAGAATTCATAGGCTAATGCAGGGACAGGTTTCAATAGCCTAATCAGATAACAAGGAGCAACTATTCGAAGGGAGCTTCAGCTAGGCAGAACTTTCGGAATGCCTACTGATGCAATGACCCTTAATTTCAGTTTTGACAAAAAATTTCTAATGAAAATACCTTGTAGAGCGGACTGGGAGAAAGGGATCTCAGTTAATGCCGACCATATCTGATTTACAAATGGCTCCCAAACCGAATATGACTCAGCAGCTGGCATTAACGGAAATAAACCAAGGACTAGAATTCATATAAGCTATTGAACTCTGTGCCAGGGAGATAAAAGGCTGGGGGATTATCAATGGAAGAATAGCGATCTTCTCGGAGCCAGGTGGCACTGAAGGAATTGCCGCATCGACCGTAAAGTCAAGAGTCGTTTGGGACTGCATTAAAGCCCTGTCAGACATTGGAGAAAATAACAAAATTACCCTTGTCTGGGTGCCAGGCCAACGAAGGGGCTGATAAATTGGCCAAGGAAAGTTCAATAACGACACCTATTGGCGCTGAACCCGCTCAATACGAATTTAGTAAAGACAGAGACATGCGAAAATGTTTATCAAGAACATCGCAGAAACTAAAGGCAGAATTAATAAATCTAGGACGTGCTAGGACTAGAATAAAAGTAGGATTGCTAACTGGACATTGCAGACTCCGAAGGCATATGTATAGATTTGGGGTGGCAGAAACAAACCTGTGCAGATATTGCCAAGAAGAAGAAACGGTTGAACACGTCGTCTGTTGTGGCTGAGATTCCTAATCAAAAGCTTTGGTGTCTGGTTAAAAAAAAGAAGAAGAAAAGAGGAGATGCATAATAGACATTACTTCTGATCAGGTGGACAGGTCGTAAAGATGCCGGGTCCTATGTAATCTAATCTAAACTATCATCTTACGTACTCAATTATATTTAAGCTAGTTAGGTTTATATTCCAAATAATGAAAAATCGTTTTGTTTGAACAATATTTTTATCCAAGTCAAATTTAATTACAAATTTTACCTGTATTTTCTGTCTTCTTACTTTTTGTTTTAAATCTGCAACATGCAGCAACAGTTGCCTGTGCCGTTCGACTTCGTTGCTTCTGTCTTGTAACACTCGAGAAATTTCTGCCAGCAAATCCAGCTCTGAAATTTTAAAAGTTCAAAGGATAAAAACAGTTTTTTATAAAAAAAAAAAAAAGAAAAAAAAAGCCCACTAATCTAACAAATAAAAAATAAATGCAAAATATTATTTGGCGAACTGATATAGTGGAATGTTTGTAAAGTATTGTTGAAATATATAAGACAAGTCAAATGGTACGTCATTAACGTTTTTGTGATTTCTCACTGATATTTACCACGCTAGCGGTTCTGGATTCGAATCCCAGCATAGCTCATGTTTTTTAATTGAGAGAGTATAAAAAACGTACTGCAAAGTAGTTTTGAACTTAGTCGCGACACCCTAACGTATATTTAAACGGTAAGTTTTCCGGTGTGACAGTCTATACAACTTTATCCCTGTCTTGCTTTTGTGCATTATCGACACAGTTTTTTCTGAATATGCCTATTTTTAGTCTTGCAGTGACAAATCGTATAACAACTTGTTGAATTCCTCTATGCCTGTCAAAACTTGACAAAAAATACGGAGTAGAAAAAATCAACAATTGATACCGACTGCTTCTAGTGCACGAATCGTGTTAATCGACTTTTCAATAATTCTTTGGAATTTATTCTTCCATTGGATTCCAAAGTTAACATTAATTTCTATTTTCTTAGTAGTACATACTTCATAATTGTCAAATTGTGGTTATACGCTTTCAAAATATATTAAAAAAACACAAATACAAAAAAAAACAACAGAACCTGTTTAATTTATCTTATTTACAACGTGGATATTTTCTGAGATATTTGAAACTGCTGAGAGTTTGACGTCACAATAATGTCATACGCTTGCTGAGACAGAGGAGAGCTTCACGCTACGATGGCGTCATCTGCAGTAAAAATCATGTTCAAGCGTAGCAATGTAGTTTTGAGATTGCATGTTTCTGAGAGCGAACTTTCAATAAATGGCCTACTGTTTTCGAATTAGTTGAAAGCATAACTCTAAACAAATCCTTCCCCCAATTTAAAATATATGCCAATATTACAGTCTGCATTTGGCTTTTATTGTGTTGAAATCACTTTTTTTTAAAACTTTTTTAAAACAACGGCGCAATTTAGCATTGAAGAGAAAGTCAGCATGCATGGCTGTTGAGTGCTATAAGATGGAAGTGAAGCTGCAAGTTTATGTTAAAATATTCCCGCAACTGAGAATATCCAGAAAGAAAAATATAGAAATATTTTTAAGACTTTTGTAAGAATAGTACAAAAGTAAGAACGAAATTGATAACCTCATTCTTTCTATACACTTCGAGCCTTTGATATGAACCTTCAACTACGCCTTTCTACAGTCCAAATTCTTTACGAAAAAGAAAGAAACATGTCGGGATATACAAGTGTACAATTCGGAGAATCTTAAAAAAATAAAAATTTTAGGAGTTACGACCTTTGATTATGACAAAAGGATTACTTTTCTCGCATATTTTTACAACAAACCATGTGGAATGACAAGTTCAAAACCACAAATAAAGCCGGGAACACACTTACCTTATGCAATGCTTTGCGACGCTACCCGATGCTACCCGACGCCTTGTCACGTTTTGGTAGGGTGTGCGTGTATCACAAATCAGTATCACAATCGCAACGCCTCTTTTGTTCTTAATGGAATATTTTGAGCAAAACCATGTAATAAATATTGTTCGTTAAATTTAATGGTTTTAATTAAAATTATCCCGGTGTTCTGATAAATTTTCTGCCTAACCATCATAATTAAATCATTTTTATAAAAACTCAAGAATTTTTGATCTCGTTTAATTTGTTTTATATTAAAATAAGAATGTTGTAATTAATACAACGGCAATAAAATAGTTTGAATAAAAATATGAGTGTCCGGTTCTTTTGTCTTCGACTGTACTCGATGCAACCCGACGAAAATCTGGACAGTGGGGATCGCAGAACATCGAGTAGAGTATCGTTGCATAGCATCGGACAGATATGCACGGGGGTAATACAATCTTGTGGAAAATTGGACTTTGTTTTTGCGTCGGGAAGCATTGGGTAGCGTTGCATGGCGTTGCATTGGGTAAGTGTTCCCGTCTTAACTAGTATATGAACCGATTGATTTCCATACATGGGCGGAGGAAAATCCTACAATGAAATATGAAACCCACCACTAAACACTGTTACCGTACAATGTAACCGTACTGTACATTAATGATTATTTAAAAAGTTGAAGTCCACCTAGCAGACCCGGCTGCAGAGTGAGGTGCAGCGACGAGTTCTGGAAATCTGGCCAATGCAAGTCCCCCAAGGTAGTCTTCTTGGTCCCATCCTTCATATCATCTGTACTGCTGTCCTATCTGCATACCCGATACCATTATCACCACCTACGCGGGCGGTGCAGCACTTTTATCCTCTTACTCGAACCAAACTACCTCCAATATCTAAGAACATCCCAACAAAAAACCCGAACGTCGCCTTCATTGACGATGACCTCGAGACCTCCTAGCCTCTTAATCCCTCTCACTGAGTACCGCATTGGCTAGTTTCTCATTATCGAAGACTGGTGCAAAAAGTGGAGGACAAGGCTGTATGAAGAAAACTGCACTTTGTGTACATTCACATTGAAAAAACAGTCTTGTATATCAGCAACAAAAAGTTACCGATTTGCATACAGGTCAAATAATTAGGACTTTAAGTAGACAGCAAAATGATGTGGAATCTCCACACAAGATTCCACAACAACATAACACAAGACTTAAACAACTACCAAGACTAGACCCGACTTCCGTCTGACTGCTAACACAAAACTAAACTTATTTAAGACTTTACTGCGACCACGTTGAATATACGGATTGGAACCATTGGGTTCTGCCAAGCCATCCAACAACCAGCGCATCCAATCCTTCAAATCAAAGGTCCTCAAACAAGTCGTCAAAGCTCCTTTCTACGTCACTAACCTCACTATCTACAACGGCCTCAACATTCCTTTTGTCAACTGATCCGTTCCAGATTCCCAAAGTTTCACACCAACCTCTCGATCCATCTTAATCTCGGGAATCTCGAGCCCTCTCTACACATGCACACCCCGAGAACCCGAACGTCGCCTTCATTGACGATGACCTCGAGACCTCCTAGCCTCTTAATCCCTCTCACTGAGTACCGCATTGGCTAGTTTCTCATGGCATGTGTCCTCCGGGTAGAGCGCTGACATTAGAAGTGACCGTGTGAAAAAACGTACTGTGATCACATTTGCATTGATAATAATATGTACTAAGATTACAAGCTACATATACATTTTTTTAATGAACAGAATTTGGTGTTGCCACTACCGTGTAAACTACCTTGTCCTTCAATTTCTTCATTGGACGTTTCCTGAAAGATAGATAGAAAGCCGAGTCCGATTGTTTGTCCAGCTTGAATATGACACCTGTGGACTACTTCTTGTAAGTTTATTTGAAAAATCAAGTGTATCCTACTGTAGCCACATTCCGCGGGCATCCGTCCAAGAAAGGAGAGAGAATTTCAAACCAGAGTCGATCGCCTCAGCCATCGCCCGGTGGATTGCAAGAGAAAAGCTTTGTTTTTAAAGTGGTGCTCAGTTTAATAATTTCTTATGAGAAAGAGGTGAGCAATCAATGTAAAAAATATGAAAAAATCTAGTTTGATCGTAAAAGAAAAATATGGGGTACTATTTGATATAAAAGAGTAGGGTATGATTTCGGTAATACCCTGTAAAAAATATAGATTTGATTATGTATTTGTTTTCTACGCTATAAATTAACGTGTGTTACAATTTAAATTTTTGTTTTAGATATTCTTTATTCTGAGATAAAGGGGTGTAACATGTTTCAGACACCCTGTATATGATGGGCTAAGAATGCGCCCTTGTTGTACGCCGGTCTCTGTGAACGCATTGCCGCATACTTTGAAGCAACAATCTGTTATAGGATTTTAGGATTAGGTAATGATTGGTGGGTAAGAAATGCGAAAAAAATACCAATACAGAATCGATTAATTAAGAAGGTTTGTAAGGAGTAGTTATGTCATGAAAAAAATTCATCTGAAAGATCGCGTGCCTCGTAAATGTTCTTGATTTTACTTCACCAACGAAATGTCGGATTTGATTTGTCCTGTCTAAAAGGTTTTAAAATTAAATCTTATATATTGTTTGATATATTCGGTATTGTTTGAGAGAATAATGGAAGTCAAAACCATAATAAACATTAGGAAAAACAAGAAAACTCTTGGTGCCGATAAAATAAATAATAAATGCTTAGAAGCCTATCTACAAATGCCTTTTTATTTAAATTACATTATAATGATTTCGAAGCCTTGGATGCTTTCCAGAAATTTCGAAAAAAATTTAAATAATAATGTTCGAGTTATTTCACTTTTCACAACCATATCCCATAGTCCCTCATGTCTCATAAGATCCCACTGTTAATTTTAAGTTAATCCTACTGTCAATTTGGTTACACCAGTGGATAGACCGTTGAAAACTCTATTTTTTATTTATTTTAACTTTAACCAAACAGAATGCAAAATTACATAGCAGATAACGTTGAACATAAGAAAAAAAACGAAAAAAAATTAAATGAAATGAACAAAATGTCTTGTTCAAGCTAGGTTTCCTGATAGTTTTTCCACTTTAAGCTTGTTAATGTTGCTTTTTTTTAATAAAGAATGTAATAAAATAAACAAATGAGTCTCTTCGGTATAAAATTGATCGTGGAGAAAAAACTTTACAAAATTAAAATAACTCTTCAAAATCCACCTTCTTGAAGAATGCAAGCGTAACGTATTCCGCTAAGGTGTATTGGAATGGAAGTGTTATGTAGAAGTGCCATAGAACCCATACTCACATACTCTGCTCCAATAAGGAGCTCCGGCTTAGATTACAGGTCAAATCTGCCCAAAGTTAAACGTGTTCAACGTGGCGTTTAGAATAATCAAAGGATATGGAACGCACTCCTTCGAGGCATCGTGCATGATAGCAGATTTGACACCTATCCATCTAAAAATACAAGAATATCCTCAGAGGTTCA